ACTCTTTTACCAACGAATAGTGGGATTGACCGTCACATTATAACGCCCCCACGGCTGAAAGGGCGAGCATGTTTGTGGGATGCGGATTCGAACCCGCGACCCTCAGATTGTGAGTCCGGGCGCTTTATCCACCTGGCCATGCCGGCCAATACTTTTATAATAAAAGTGATCATGTGAAAACAAACCTTTTTTTTTAACGATTCAGTCTTTTACAAAAGTCATCAGATGCTGCTAAAACTTCCAACAGATATTATTTACGCCACAATATGCATGGATATCTTTCTAGTGTCCATTTTGTTTCTATTAAACCAAAAGAAAAAAAGGGGGGTTGAATTTTTTTAAATCAGTTTTTAATCTTTTTTTAGCTGCTATTTTAGAAATCAGAATATTTTTACAGCCCATAATACTAAGATAGTCACTTAAGGGAAGGCTTTGAATCTTCCTTATTGGCTAATTTAAAGTTGTAGATCCATCTAGATGTCGCTGTTTGTTGTAGAGCAAAGCCACATTAGGCTAGCTGTCGTGTTTACCGTGGGGAATCGAACCTCGGATTTTTGCATTAAAAGTCCGTAAACTTACTGCTGTGCCATCGGAGGACATCATTGTTTGAAGCTTGTTATTTGTTGTGTGGTGGTGTAGGTTTTTAATATAACTAGCCGCGACCCGAAAAACATTTGCTGTAGTTTTCATACCCTTCGTTTGAGTTTTTTTTATTATATCATTTTCACACACGCCATTTAAGCTATGCTTTCTTGCAGGCATTATGTGTTAGATTGATAAATCCTGGTTTAAGAGTCGAAACAAAGAAACTCATAAAAACGAGAAATAAAACCCGTAGTAAAGAAAAAAGTAGCTAAAGGGTGTTTATAGCAGTCTATGAAACGAACCGAAGCTAAAATATTGCAAAGGAAAGCACGTCTATAGTTGTATTGAAGGCCAACTTAGCTGATTATGCAGAAGCGTCTGAATGTGTCTTCACACAGTTTACCAACATTGCGTGTTATAGAGCAGCTAGATAACAGAAATATATCTGTACGCTTAACCAACATAACGTGTTATAGCACATCTGGATAATAGAAATGTATCTCTACTGTTAACCAACATATCGTATTATTATTTAAATACGTCAGACAACATAATAAGATAATGAAGGTGTAAATGGAGATTATTTATCTGTAACCTACCGCAATGGATATGAAAAATATGCATAACGGTAATTATATGTATACTGAGCTATTAACTTGTGTTGTAGTTTGGGAGATAGTAGTAAGATATATTTCACTAGCTAGATGTCCAATATTCTGGTGTGTTGGTAAACAATACACTTTGGTCATAACTTTCTGTTATCCAGCTGTTCTTTAATGAGGTTTGTTACATCACATGGTGGAGAAATAGTGTGATTACTGCATGTCGGTTTGTAAGCAAACCATGTAAACATGTTCCACTTTAAGGGTGTAGCGCTTATCAAAATTGTAAAGTATTAATACTCCTCAAGACATGCAGTGTGGTATTCCTAAATGGAAAGTTACACTCGGGTAATTCATGACCTCAATAACGGGAGGAACGACAAGATCTAGCCGGCAGTGAGCTTTTTAAAGTTTAAAGAATAAAGACCCCACAATGCAGCAATCAACGTGATGAACCACCCTGAATGATGCAAAACATGAAGAAAAGAACTGCCCACAGCAGTGTAACTGATCTTGAAATAAATCTATTTATTTGATCGACTTTATATGCCATTTTTTGGTGAGAAATATAATAATTTTACAAAATTATCCAATGAACCTGATTTTTGTTACACGAACACGAGGATAAGAATTTTGTCTTCAAAAGCTCATTTGTATGAAAACTTTTAAACTAAGAGAAAAAGATTCATAAACACGTGTAAAGTCGGAGACAAAAAAAACTATTCTTCTTTAACCAACCACATACACACGACTGCATAATGACCACCATGTATTTTAGTGGGGAAGTCGGGTTAACACGAATTTTCCGTCAAATAATGCCATAAGAACACGGAGTTGAAGAAATGTCACAATCTGAAGGTACAGATTTACCTTGGTTAAGACTGAAATATACATCAGGGTACAGGTTTACAGTGGTTAAGACTGAACTGTTATACCAAAGTACAGATTTACAGTGGTTAAGACTGAACTGTTAATCAAGGTACAGGTTTACAGTGGTTAAGACTGAAATATACAGCAGGGTACAGGTTTACAGTGGTTAAGACTGAACTGTTACACCAAGGTTTAGGTTTACAGTGGTTAAGACTGAACTGTTACATCAAGGTACAGGTTTACAGTGGTTAAGACTGAACTGTTACATCAAGGTACAGGTTTACAGTGGTTAAGACTGAACTGTTACACCAAGGTTTAGGTTTACAGTGGTTAAGACTGAACTGTTACGGATAGCTAAAGTTTAGAAATTTATTATGATTTTTAATGATGATAAAACTAAAACGGTTCCTGCTTTATTAAAACAGTCACGACTGACACAGCAGTATATCTGTAGGATAATCCATAACATCGCTACGTATGACTACAAAAGGGTTTAATGTGTAGTAAAATGTTTTTCCACAATATTTTTTCTTAAGTTAGAAAATGATATCCATCAGTGTCATTCTGCATCTTCTAATAATTTTAAGTTTGAACAAGATTTGTTGATTAGACGATACATGTGACTTACAATGAAAATTGGCGGATAACAAGAGTAACGGACATATGAAGGCTTGATAGTATAGGTGGCTTATAGTGAACGCTTGCGGATAATAGCAGTGATGGACAAACGAGGGCTAGATGCTGTTTGCAATCTAGTGAACGTAACGGATAATAATAGACAGATAAATGGCGGAACGGACAAACGAGGGCTAGATGCTGCATGCAATCTAGTGAACGTAACGGATCATAATAGACAGATAAATGGCGGAACGGACAAACGAAGGCTAATTTTTTAAACACTACACCCTTTCAAAACCTTTATTTAGTTAGACGTAGTTAGGCAAGAGAAAATCAAAAGTGGACTTACCTGAGTGTGGACCGTTACAGGAAGTTCTGAGTAAAACGGTAACCTAGTGGTCCACTGTACTAACTTGAACACTATGTTATCTCCTATCTGGCAGAGTTTTTCAGATAGCTCAGATTTTATACTTAAAAGGTCCTGTAAGTTGCTTAACGTCGCAACGTCTTCAAAATCATCGCATTGAATCAGCTGAGTTATCGAACTTAAAGCTTGCTCAACTGGCATTTGACGATCGCGCGAACTTGTGACGCAGTTTTCAAGGCGGTGACGTAAGTGCATGACATCGGCTGGGTTAGTGAGAGCTGTTTTGAGGATTTGGCCATTTGCCCACTCCTGCTGGGGGTAGCGACTACTTGGTGGTTTTTGTTGTTCTTGTCTAACTTGACCATTCTTCTGTCCCTTCTTGTGCTTCTTATATTTTACCTGACGTTAAAATAAACATAGGAGTGACTGTATTCTTTTCTCTTAATTATATATATGACACTATTAGTATTTAATTTATTAAAAACACGTTTTTCATCTTAAATCTTCTTAGAGATTTCTTAATATTTGCCTTTGTTTAAAATCTGCTATGCCTTTTTTTTACTTTTTAAGGGGAAAGACTAAAAGTTCCTAGAGTAGAGAAATGTTAAGGGGTCGAAAAAAATGCTTGTTTGATTTGTGATATTCGCCCAAAATCCAAGGTCTGTGCGCTACTCGCCACTTTTTTTAGCCGCGGCATAACGGCTCATAGAATGGCTCTGAGTTTTTTGTTGTTTTTTTTCAAGTACAAACTTTTAGCTCACGGCTCCATTTCTTGGCCGATTTGAGATCTAATTATAGCCGCGGCTATGGAGGATTCCTTCTTGTTCATATGATAAACTAAATAGTACTCACCGAAAAACTCTTGTCTGATCGAATAGTAGGATTTCACCGCAACGCACTCGCGCCCACAAATTGCGGAAAACGACTTTTTTTTTTCGGTAACGGGACGCGACCGTCAGACCTACTGATCTGTAGTCTGGCAAACTAACCGCTGGGCGACACACAGCCAAAAATAATGGAATAAGATTGAAATTGTTTGGTTTGTTTTGAACTTCACGCAAAGCTACACGAGGGCTATCTGCACAAGCCGTCCCTAATTTAGCAGTGTAAGACTAGAGGGAAGGCAGCTAGTCATCAACGCCAACTGTTGGGCTAATCTCTTACCAAGGAACAGTGGGATTGGCCGTCACATTATAACGTCCCCACGGCTGAAAGGACGAGCATGATTGGTGGGACGGGGGTTCGAACCCGCGACCCTCAGATTGCGAGTCAAGCGCCCTAACCACCTGGACATGCCGGACCAAGATTGAAATGATGTATAAGTCTGAGCACCTTACGATTTTCTGGATTTTGATAAAAGAAAAAGTGTCCAGATTAAGTTTCTGGACCTGAATTTTAGAAGTATCCAGATTAAATTTTTGGATTTGAATATTGATGAACCACAAATATTTCGTTTAAATTTTCAGAGCCCCTCTCGCTCTCGATGGCTCAACGGTAAGGTTGAGGGCTTATGACTATACAAATCGAGTTTCGATACCCGCGAAGGGCAGAGCTCAGATAGCCTGATGCTTAACAACAAAAAACTTTTTTGATCTGTATTTTCGTAGGATGAAAAATGCTCAGCATAGGTTTTTGGGAATTTTAAGTTTTAAACTTAGCTTCGGGATCGTACAGTTGGACGTCTAAATGTTTTATGGAAGTTGATGATAAACAGAAGAAAAAAACGAATAATTAGTTTCAGCAAATACTATTAGTTTACTGTTTTTAAAACACCGAATTCGCGATATAACCAGGCCAAAGTCCATCACTGGTCCAGCATTGCTAATTTTTCGCTTTGGATTGTTGCCTAAAGAGTCCAAAATCAGCACAAAAAACAGAAATTGATGATCAACAAAAAGTGTTTTGATAAGAGGGACAATGGATGTTGCAAGAATAGCTTAATTAACATCTGAATTATTATCTTCGAGATCAAAGACTACAACAGCTGTTATTTTCGAAGAAGCTCTCTTATTTTTATTTCTTGTATTTTTTTTGTTTTAGGAAGGGGTGGGGTCTTTTTTGCTTTATTTTCCTTGATAACTTTCTTTCAATGGATATCCACCCCCAACAGCTCAGCGGTAATTCTGAGGACTCACACTGCTAAAAACCGGGTTTTGATACCCGTGGTGGACACATCATAGATAGTCCATTATGTAGCTTTGATATTCCATCATGGTCACATTCACACTGACTAAATTGTTGAAACAACACTTTGCAGTTGCAAGTAATAATATAACGCTAAATACCGGGTTTTGATACCCCCGTGGTGACGCAACACAGATAGGCCGTTCGAGGCATTTTATTGAAAAATATTGGCCAAAGGAAAAACAAAAAGAAATAACTCCTCAGTGCTTGTGTGTGTGTCTGTGTGTGTGTGTGTGGGGGGGGGGGGGGTTACTGTCATTTCGTCGTCACAGAACACAAGCCCTAACCTCCTGCTACCATTCTAGCGTATTTTAAAGTAAGTTTTAAATGTTCCGGAATGTTACATACTTCTCATTTATCACTAACCTGGTCCTGGTTAAATCGTGAATTTAGGGTTAATAACTTTGAATTAATATCATACTTATCAAGGTTATTTTGCATGTTTGGCTCAACACACGGACAAACCTAAGTCTACTAAATTGCCCGTCGACTCGCAGTCTGAGGGTCGCAGGTTCGAATCCCCGTCACCAAACATACTCGCCCTTTCAGCCGTGGTGGCGTTATAATGTGACGGTCAATCCCATTATTTGTTGGTAAAAGAGTAGCACAAGAGTTGGCGGTGGGTGGGGTTGACTAGCTCGCCTGCTTCCCTCTAGTCTATCACTGTTAAATTAGGGACTGCTAACGTAGATAGCCTTCGTGTTAAGTTTTGCGCGAAATTTAAAACAAACCAAACTACGGGCACGTTGCAGCAGCGTGGGGACCATCATAATTTAGAATGCCCAAAAGAACACAGTAACCCACTATGCTATAACTTCCAACAGCAACAGACAGCTAATTATAAATTTAAGGACATCAAAACTAGAATCTACAATATACACAATAACTCAAGGTATACTGAAACAAGCACACATTCCGGAAATAAAGACTAACAGAAAAACACCGCTATTACCAACACCAGTAATACGCACATACACGCGTACAGACAACAATATATCACAACTTACGCGTATCACAACTATTAAATCAAGAAACTCTAATGCCAACAAAAACAAATCTAGAAACAACCGAACAATAAAAGAGAAACAAAATCACAGAAAGTCAACCAACAAACATACTTGAAACCGAAACAAATCCCATCTTTGAAGCAATTTAAAATACATTTTTATATTTCATACAGAAACCCCAAAACAGTACAGACGGTTTCACACTTTTAATTGAAATTGCTAAACAACGCCTCATATCTGTCATCCCACACATCATACACATATTCTTGAGCCCAAGTACCATTATACCTGTCATTCCACACATCATACACATATTCTTGAGCCCAAGTACCATTATACCTGTCATTCCACAAATCATACACATATTCTTGAGCCCAAGTACCATTATACCTGTCATCCCACAAATCATACACATATTCTTGAGCCCAAGTACCATTATACCTGTCATCCCACACAT